CTGCTTGCACAGCAATGATCCTATTTCAAAAAATAAAAACAGTAACAACAAAACTAAACACCCTAAGATGTGCTTATCTTGGAAGGATGAAACCTTAAAAGACAACAGGATGATTTGCTGGCTTTTCACTTCCAAAAATTTCAGAGTGGGCTGCCATAATATTGAAAACTGACAGCAACTTTAGTTCTTCAGGATTCTGTAGTGCATGTAGAATGCCACTGTGAATGAAAGCAGATGTTTTGAATACTTTTCCTTGCTCACCTGTTTGAGGGTATAAATTGCAACCACTATTTCTTAAATGTACTTACAACTGGAAGCCATCCATGCAAACTGTGATAGTCCTTACCAACTACAGCTGCCATAAAAAGTTAGTGTTACCTAACTGCTCCTTCTTCTTACAACCCATAATAGTGTTACTGTACAGTAAATTGCTTTCATCAAGAAGCAACTGGAATGACTTCTCCCTGCATTCAGACATCTGACCTAACAGTAAAGGGTGAGGAGCACTAACTGACAGGGACCTGCAGAGTGCTGCCTTGAAGGTCTGCTCTTCCATGCTAGCATATTCCTGAAGCAGATGGGAGGATATTACTTGTGTCTGAGGAGGAGGAGAGTTCCAAGGCAGCTGGTAACACAGCAGGATGCATCATGCTGTTCAGTCCCGTATAGGTTCTAAAGGGAAGTCTTGACCTTTGCAGTACATGTCTGTAGCTAGAAATAGACAGGAGATAAATTCAATCATTTGGTTTTGTCAGTACAATAAAGCAAAGTCTGAGACACTTCTGTTACATGCAGTTTTTGTTGGCTGCAAACTAGGAGGGGTGGAAGGGAACATAAATCAGCCAAGAAAGGTACTTAGTTACTGATAGGAAAGATCTGAGACCACATCAGCAGAGATCTGTGCTCCAACCCTAAGTTTGGTAAGGTAATGCTGGTAACAGATTTTCAGAGTCCTTTGCTGTGGCCAATTCACACAAGTGCCCTGGAGAACTGTATGTGTAATGTCCTGAGGTCCTGTATATCTCCCTCTGCATAGACTCAAAGTTTTGCTATAATCTTACCACTAAGCAGAAATAATGGAAGAAGAGACAAAAAGCTAGAGTCATTTCCTTCTGATAAATATTCTGTTACTGTGAAACATAGAACACATGCACATAGTTGGTACTCTTTGTTTTTGCTTGATTATTATTATTACCCACCACTGGAACATTAAAAGTCCATAGGTCATATCTAAGGGCAGGAATTCAATAGTCTATCACAGTTCATGCAATGCAGTTCAAACAACATAATGTCACTAACACACATCCTGTTTTTATTCCCTTTCCTCCTTTTTCCCTTCCCTTTTAGAAAGGGAGCTCCTAAAATCCTCTCATTGCTTGTCACTCTGCATTTCTGGACAAAAGACCACTCCAAAGCCCTAGTGGCAGATTTAAATCCTAGTTTGAGGCTGACCATCATTATTCATTCAGGAAAGGCTTCTAGGGAGCTTTCTAGCTAATTCAAAGTTAGAAATGAGGAACCAATTAGAAGAAAATTTCCTGTGTAGATTGGGAAGTCACTGCAGAATTTAGATATAGCTTAGCTTTAAAAAGCTTAAAAAAAAAATAAAAAAATGCTAAAAGTGTATTCCTACTTAATGATAGCATCTTTATTGGCTTGTCCTTGTAAGGGTCAGTTACTGACAACAGAAGTGAAACAAACAAACAAAAAAAAAACAACAAACAAAACAGAACAAAAAAAGGCAAAACAGATTAGTTTCCTTCTAGTTACATGATTTGTGAACAGTTTTTGTAGAACCTCCAAAAGAAGTAAAAAAAAATAAAAATCAAAAATAAAAATTGTATTTCCTTCCAGCTACCTCTAATGACCACTAGAGCTATACACTACATATACTAACTTAAGTTCCACTCAATAAATGAGTGATTACCAGAGTCTGTGCTTTATCACCCTGCAGAAGTGAATTATGTCAGTATATTGCTTTCTAAAGGAAGAGCTGCCATTATTCCAGCAAATAATTATATACAGCTGACTAATTTTTCAGAGATGGCATTAGGCTGAGTGACTTTGAAGAGGTGTGCAGACTGTTTAGCACACTACTGTAGCTCAGACAGCACCACTGTTTTCACTGACAAACCAAATGCACCAGACAGTGAGCAAGGCTATGGCCTCCTTAAATTCCAAAAGAAGACAAGAAATGCTGTAGTTAGTATAGAAGCAATCAATTCAGAAGCAGCAATCAGTAGGTTTGTTTTGTACTGTGTAGGCAGCTAAACCAAGTGATTACTGGCCTCAGTATAGAAATAGACTCCTATGTAACTGAAGGATGGCTTAGTACAGAAGCTTTTTAGATGTAGATGGATGTTAATTTTAATATCTCCATTTCAGGCCCTGAACAAATGCTTCATGGTTCTTACAGTGATGTATCCATCAAAGGTTAGTTTTGGACGTGTACGTTTTTAAAAGGAAAAAATAAAATCTTGAAGCCCACACAGGAAGAGCTGAGGACACTTGCCCTGCCTGCATAGGCTTCTACAAAAGTACAGGAATAAAGCAGAAAGTTTAAAATCAGGCCTTGGCGTTCATGACCACAATTGTCACTTATTTCAGGCTTTTTTTCCCCTTATAAATCACTTCCTCCAAGGAGGAAATACTTCATTTTGGGAGCTCCTCAGTGCTTCACAGACACTGCCCCTATGTTCCTTTGGAGTCTGTGTAGCTTTGCCAGCTGGCCTATGTTAGGGCATAATCCCATCAACATCATCCTAGCAGGGCATGAGCAGCATTGATCTCCAGCAGTCTTTTTCCCTTTTATAGTAAAATGGGTTACAGTAGAAACTAAAGAAGAGATTTCTCATCATGGAATCGCAAATGGGTAGACTTTACTTTGGTCGTCTATAGCCAGTAATGAACCATTGTGGCTTTGGAACTTTCTCTGGTGTGGAAGTTGTTTTGTAGTTTCTTATTGTAAGGAAGAAGAAAAGTATCTGCTTCACAGAAGTTCATTTGTCATTTGGTAGAGATGGACTTCCTTATAGGTAGGATTATCAGTATCACCACGTGAAGCAACTTTAGACTTGGTGCAACTCAGTGAGGGCCATAGAAATGGTGTTGTCGTCCCCCCTCTCCCACAGGCAAGAAATATTTGTGCTCTCTTATTAACACATGCTCCCCAAATTTACATCCTGGTAACAGGATGCAGTTTTGGCAAGTGAATTCCATGACTGAACATTAGCTTTAATCACCTTTATATTTTGTGTATAGAAAGACCATTTTTGTGATGTGATGAACAAAATAAGATTATGATTAGAGAATCAATGCTATTAGACACAAAATACCAGAAGTTATGAGCATACATCTGAAGTCCAAGAAATGGTACAGATCTGTTTGAACTGCAATTGCCTCTGTCACCCTGAAAATGCTTACAAAATGTATTCAAAGCAAAACTCGGCCAAACAGGAGACACAAACATATTTTTACCCATCACAAATGACTAAATATTCCACAGTCAAATTCTGTGTACAGAAAGTATGTAATACAGATTGATTACTATGCCAATCCCCAACCTTGACCCGTTCTTAACCCTTAATGTTCCCTGAAGTTTATTTCAGGACCTAACTTACCTTGAATTAATGCTTTAAAGCACTTTCTAGTCTGTGTGCATACATGACATAAATTAACATCAGTCCTTTGCTTTTAGGAACAGGTGTGAGATGGAAAAGATCTCTGGCATGTACAGAGACCCAGGCAGCCAGTGATGCTCCTGCCTTCCTGCACTGGGCAGCTCTGCACCCTTACACAAGTAAGGCTTAGCACTAAGAAAGGCCTGAACCACAGATACTGTAATTCTGACAGTTCCCATTACCCTGTTGAGCAGTGCAAGAAGGGGAGCTGGGAAGACAGCGTCAGAAGTCTTGTACCTCATCCCTGCCTATCTCTGCTACCTGTGAGATACACATCAGTGATTGCTAGCTGCTGGGAGATGAGTACTGTGAATCCAAGAGCCTGGGAAAAATCCTGTGTGCAGTTGAAAGTAATGTGATTGGAAAGGGATTTAATGTTTCTCAAATCTGTCCCAGAATATGTACAGACAGGGATGTACTGAAGCACGGTCTGATTTTATGAAATGCTTGAAAACAAATTTGTGCAGAATTCAGAGAATTAGTTGAAGGGAAGGCCAGCAAAGTCATTTTGTTATAAAGGAAGAAAAAATAAAGAAACAGCACACAAATCAGGTATCAAACGCAGGTCACAAACAAAACAAGAGCTCTGCAAACTACTCAGATCTCAGGCAGTTTGGATCCTGAAATGTTAGAGAGACTCAAGAAGAGCAAGCTAAGGACTAGTGAGACCACAGCTTATTTAAGCAGTATGTAGCATTAGCACTCCTAGTGTGAGCGTTTCGGAGAAGCACAGTCAGCAACGAGCCGTACGTTCAGATTATTGTTAGCATGAATTTCACTTTGCCTGTCAGGTAAATTCAGCTGGTGATGCTCATTTATATCCTTCTGGCTGCTCACAGATTATTTACCATTAGTAAATCTTATTAAAGCCAGGTTAGGCTTTCATCATTTTTCCCCACAGTGTTTATTTTCAAAACAAAACTCAGTGGAACTTTAGTTTCATGTTTTAATCATTGCTTTCATAACACACTCTTCTTAAATCTGTAGAGATAGGATTGTCTGAAAGTGCTGCTATTTAAGCACAATATTGCTTTTCTATCTTCTGTGCCTCATTTCTGTGTGTACAGCACAACTTCAGAGTAGGAAGACGTTATCTTTAACAGGAATGTCTTCAAAGCAATTTGTCTTTCCTTGAAAGCAGCCATGGAGATTATACTTATAAACTTTTCTATCCTTCACTGTAATGTGCTGCTGAGTCCTTGTGTTCTTCACATCTTTGCAATGTATTAAGAAACAACCAAAGAATACTTCTCCCTCACCCCAACTATACTCATTCCACTGAAAAATTAAGAAGAGCTAGAATTTCTACACTGCACTTACCTGGAACGAAGCTTCCCTGGACCACTTCCTTGTATGCCCACCAGCCCTCATGGATTTTCGGTGAATTTTGTTGAGCTAGAAATAAACAAACCATAAAATTAAGGTAGTGCATGGGAAACACATAATTGCAAGAACTTTGGAAACTCTAAGCAGGTTATCATCTTCAACACAGGAGCCATTCTGCGAGTTCCCAAACAGTGTCTGTTCAATTAAGTGCCTGTATCTTGGAGCCCCTTCTCGCTGTTTCTCAGGCAGTAAAATGTGACTTCTGAGGAAGTGATCACTAAACTTAAATTCAGATAAAAAATGAGGTTTTGTAACTTTTGATCATTCATGTATCAAGTTTTTTAAGGATAGAACTGCAGACAAAGTGAGTGAACTTCAAGCACAGTAGTCAGTATCTGAGCCTGAGTTTGTGGACTGAATCATTTTTTCCCCTCTGCCAAGTTCGCCAGTCTCTCATTTTGAACAGGAAGAAATGACAGTGAACCATAGGCCATAGCTGTGTCTGTATGTTTCTCCTTCAGAAATATGCTCTGAGTTCCAGAAAGAGAACAGGAATACGTAGCTCCTTGCTTCACTGGCCTATACCATAATGCTCAGGCAGGGAGATGAGTGTTGCAAAAGCCTTTAAGTTATCCCCCACTGCAGTCGTCCTGGTGTTACCTGTATCTGATGGGAAACTCTACAGCACAGTGCAGCAAACCAGTGAGGTTTTGTGACCAATATTATGACAGCCATATGGACAAAAATCTAAGCTGTGGATGATGAGACTGTTACTTAAATAACTTCCCTGAACTTTCTGACAAGCCAAGAGTAGAAAGGACTTGATTTATAAAGACATGACTTCCCTTCATCCTGAAGGAAACGGGCATGGAGCAAATATAATGCTTAAAATGTAAAATGTTAACAGAGAAACATACAAGATAATTGTTCCAAGGCCGTGCAGACAGACAGTAAGAGACATGGGCAGGTCAGAGCCAGAAGCAAATGTCTCAACTTTGCATGCTCGAATTTCCATGTTTAGAGCAATCTTTTCCTTGAGTTATAGAAAGCTCAGCTATCTTCAATATCACTAGCTTAATTTCTGTAATTGGATACTTTCAATCCTTTCACCAGGTCTAAGAGTTTTAACATAAATACACAGCTAGGAATGATGTGAGCTTTTGCAGCCTTCTGTTGCAGTTTTGTTTCTCAGTTGCACATTGTGTACAGAAGGCACAATTACCCTGGGAGAAGTTCCAGCAACATAACAAAAATTGTTGTCATTAAAACTTACAGAGGGAATGTGACATTCAGACTAAAAGATGAGGATGGCTACATACGGTTCTATCCCTAACAAAACAATATTTGTGATTTAACTAACTGTAAATTGCAGCCAGAAGTAAAGCTGAAGTTAATTAAATGTACTGAGAGAAGGACCACTGCTATCTGCTGACCAGAAGTCCAGACTTACTTGTGGAATGGGTACATGTGGATGTAGAAATCCCCTTGTGGTACTCATGCTTGTTCCATTAATTGGTTGGTGACACATTAAACTGAAAGGACTGACACACTGTGTACTCCCTACAGTTTGCGGAGGGCATTACCTTCATTTAATGTTTATATCTCTGTCTAGAGAACTCCAACCGTGTTCTGGCTTTGGACTACATAATGCAAACACTTGGAAAATGGCAAATCCCAAGCCATGATCCAAAACATCTGAGCAGCAAAATAGTCAGACTCAGACTGAACTGTTGTTAGGTTTTGGTGGGTTTTTTTGAATCTCAGCACTGGTTCATGGAGGTTACTTCTATGCTTATCTACAGCAGAAGTCCTCAAAGATTTCAGGATGTTTCAGCAATAGGAAAAGATACCAAGTGAGCCCCCAAAAGCACAACAATCACTTTTTACATAGTATTTCTCAGAAAACTAGATTGTATTAAAATCAACTTTTTAGTAACATGCACAGTTAAAACTGCTACAGACAACCAGAGGCAGCTGCTTCTTAGAAAAGAGTAAAGAAATTTGTGTGCAGAGGCAGGCAGCTTAAGAAGGGAGGCTGAGTACTTCCAAATGCAACTGCTTGCTGTCGATATTTGTAGAAACTTATACAATAGAAAACTGTATCAGCTTTCCCACTCTGTGGCCAATCCTAAATGATACATGTCAGGTCCAGAAGAAAACAACAACAAAAAAATCCAGTACTCAGAATTGAAATTAAACCAAAATCAGAAGGCACCAGCTCTGTAGTTCTGCTTTGTTGTACTGTGCCAACGTTTAGTAAGGCTAATTCCAAAAGCACTATCAGGAGAAGTAAGATTTTTGGCATTTTTTTTCAAATCTCTTGCATTAATATGGAAACAAAGACTGTATGAAGTGAGTAAGAAAACTAGATTATCAAAGATTTGTACTAAATAATTGGATGTCTGTGCAATCGCTTTCTCTATCAAAGAGCATGACCTACCATTGCTCTGCACTTTCCATAGATACCAGATCCTTATCTCTTCACTAGATACATAAAAATGAAAAGCAAAGAAGAAATACAGTAAGATGTGCTGTTTTCCCACAGCCTAAGGTAAGGTGAGAGCACGAGGGGGTTACTGCTGCTCCACAGAAAACTGAGGCCTCTGAGAAAGTCAAGGAGAAAGGCACATAGTTCTGAGAGAGGAGCTGGGCAGGCAAAGCCCACTACCAGGCTCTTGTTTGAACCCTGAATCCTCTGTTTTATACCAGTCCAGGCAAAATGTTTACAGAAATAGCACAGAGTGGCTGAACACAGTTTTCCGTTCTGTGTGTGAAGTCTAGCTTGCTGCTCTGATGGATCATACAGGGCTTTGCTTAGAAAGATTTATGAAGCTCTCATTTCTCTGGAAGCAGACAGGGGACTGGTAAGGGCAGGAAGGAGTCCACATCTTCTGGAAACTTCTCCTGACCTATTACATCAATCTGCCTTAGAAAGTAGACAAGAAGTTGTATCAGGAGTAAAAAAAGAAAAGCTGTTCTCTGTTTCTGAAATAGACCCACACTTGGATTAGTGATGGAACAAAGGAATACAAAATTAGAATTAACAGACATATGGACAGTCCTTGCTGGGAATCCTATCTGGGCCACTTACACCTGATGCTCATACACCAATTGTACAGACCCAGTGCTGTACCAATGCCCATCTGACAGAGAGGCACTGTGCCTGGATAAACAGGTTCAACCTTATGGCTCAGGAATTATTGCCAAGGAAAAGGATTCTTTGTATCTGCCATCTCATGACATTGCTAATAAAAAATAATCTCGGCTTCCTTCTTATTTCAGTTAAAGGAAAGCTATTTTATATCTCATTGCAGTTCTGCTTGAGTACCACAACCAGAGACAGGCATGCTTTGAGGGTTCTGATGTTCCTGTGTTACTACCAGAACAGGGAGGCACCTGCATGGCAGCTCCTTTGTTTCATTGTGAGCTGCCACATGAGATATTCAGAAGGAAAAAAGGTCTAGAAACCAGTTCTGTATTTCTAGGAAGAGGTTCAGTATCTAAAAAAAAAAAGCTCATTTCTGATACCTCAACATCTTGTATTTCTACTGCATAGTTAAAAATAGTCGGGGTAGGAACCTGCATAGAACGCTTATGTGCCTTTGGATTCCAAGGAATACTGTTGGTTCTATAAGGCATTGAAATAAACAGATCCAGCTGAAGAGACTCTTTGCTGACTGAGCAGAGCAGAGGGAGTTGTGCAGCAGCTGTGTTAGCCCCAGCAATGTGTTCTGCCCCTAACAGAGCCAGTCCAAAGCACCACATTTGTCCAAAGTGCTGAAGGTTATTGAAATGACCTCCATTTGCTACAGTGTTCTCTTCAGTACGGAAATCACTAGGATCTGAGATGACTAGTTGTGCTGATATAACACTGTTATGTTAGATCTATTTCAGTGCAGCTGCTGTACATGAGACAGGATATTTATTCAGAGCAGATATAGCATGTTGCTTTCATTTTTTTTTTCAGGTTATTGGAGATGTATCTTATTGTGGAGCATAAAATTAAAGGCTAAATCCTGCAAGATGTCAAGTATTCAGTGACTTCCATCCATAGGGGAAAACTGTGCCAAACAAGATCATGAAAACATGATGTAGATGCAAATGCCAGAAGGTGCCAGTGCCACAGACTCATCAGTTAACTCTGTCTGGCTTAGAGGTTAAAATGGGTAGGCTTGTAATTCAAAGGGAGGTGGTGTGTTCTGTAAAACTATTTTGATAATATTGTCTCAGAAGCCAGGTACCAGAATGCAGATTCTGTTACATCTGCATAAGATTTGCATCTTGTTGGAAGGCTAATGCTAATATATAAAATGCAGTAGTAAATATGAAAGGCCTCCCAGTAAGCGTGCCCATTTGGAAGATGTAAACAGAGCGCTCAGCTATTAGTTATCTACTTTCTATACTTAAACAACAGGTTTGTTGGTGATGCCTTTCACATCCAAGCACAAGCCAGCAGCATCCTGCCGGGTCTCAGTTCTTCATCCCCTTCACCCTCATTCCACAGGAATGAAAAATGCTAAACTGTGGAGAGCCAGGCTCACCGAGGTTGGAAAAAAGCCTTTCTGTATTTGAACGTATTGATCTGAATTCCTGACTGCGATGTTATTCACTCCGTATGCTGCTTTCATATCCTAAGGGTTTTGCTTTTGATGACCTGATTAGCATTGCTCTGGCATTAAATAGATAAAAATCAGTTTTAGCACTGTTACCCTATTTTCACAGTTTAGAGATTAGAAAGAAAATGGTGTAATTTTGTAATAAACATAATGCAAGGCATTAATTTATTGCTAATTAAAATTAGATGCTTTTGTAGAGGTTTAGAAGACATGATTTAGTAGAAAATTGGCCTTACAGACAACAGTGGAGGATGTGGTTGGCTGTTTGTTGTTTTGGTTTTCATTCAAGTAGAAATTTAATGTTTTTGCTAAACTCCATTCCAGGATGTCAGGGGATTCATGTATTTTGTAATTATTTTGAATTATTAGTTACTACATTTTACATGGACTTTTTCTACAGTGTTTAACCAAGAATGGGTTGCCCAAACTTTGGAGAGAATACAGAGTTTCTCA